TGTTTCAAAGTTTGCTCGGAAGCCTTTTTAGTTACATATACAAATTAACAATATTTCGGTGAAAGCTTTCTCTTTAATTTGAATAACGTCTGTATCCTTTATCATGCATTCGCTAACAAATTGTTACTTTTATGGAGGATTTTCCCCTAATTAAAGTCGTAATTTTATCCCTAAATCATTCGGGTTCTTTTAGCAATCGTTTTGTTATGTGTTAGAAAAAAATAAAAATGTTATTCAGCATCAGAGGTCGGTCCGTACTGGGAAAAACTGTGCCCTGTCTCTAGTACCGCCCAGGGCCCTCGGCCTCGGGCGGTATCCAAGACCTCGGGCACAGTTTTTCCCATTACGGACCTCCCAGCTGGTGAATAACATATATTTAATTTCCGGTTAGATGTCTGCAGCACAGCTGTCTGTTATGTTCGACGAACGTTATTCTTTTGTCTTGACCTCCAAGAGTGACGCGATTAAGCCTCGTTTTTATGAAGCTTTCGATTCCTCAGCTTGAGGCATTTACTTCAAAGCACCCATTTGGTTCGACTTGGGTTTGAAGTGTCTTACGCAGGGATCTGGCTTACTTGGACAAAAAACAGGTTTGTTCCGCGACTTTGTAACTTTTTGGTTTGTGCTATCTTCTGCACGAAGATTTGTAAAGTAGGTTAAATCCTTGTACTATCTACTAGTCTTAAAATGATTAGTTTAAATCATGTCGCACGTGCTCTATTCATTGTGATGTCGCGTTAACAATTCTAGATCGATATTTCTATTTACGGTCGCTGTCTCTGACGTGGAAACAAATTCAGTTTTCCTCATTTGCGAACTGAGGGATTCTGTACAATTCTTGGTTTGCTTTTGAAGCACGCTGTTGTTAAAGCTTGTGTTTCGTTGCATTCAACCTTCGCAGTTTCGCTTTCGAGCAGCGTTCTCACAGATCACATTTGATTTTCTTTCTATCCGTGTGAGCTCGCTATAAATTAGCGCACCACTGCAAATGTAGCTAAAGTGTAATGTGAAGTGAAGAAGTTTGCCTGATTCGAGGTTGTCATGGTTTGGGTTGAAAATACATATTGTCCTGTTTGTAGGGCGGTACCCTGGAGCTGTACATTACATTTTAAACAGACCTACTCTTTCATCCGGTCAAACCTTTCATTTAGCAAAAAGATATATGCGTTTTATCGATAATATTAATAGCTTTTATATAAGGAAGGAATTTAGCATGCCGACGAAAATATTCGTCAAAACAAAGCTGGAATCATTTAAAGGTAATTATAGAAGTTTAATAACTGAAGCAATAGGAAGGATTAATTCTCGTGTGAAACTAATCCTTACTGTAGCCACTGATGCTCAGCAACTCCAGCTGAATTTATGTATGATCGAGATGGAAGTCGTTTCATTGGAAGTTTTTTTGTAGTTATGGGGACAGTGATGTGTATAGCATTATATTATGTTTTTTTAAAGGGTTCAGTCAAGGGTAGCATTCCTGTTTGAAACTTTAATCAGATTTCCTTAATTCGTTCAGGCATTCCTGAGCACGCTCGCTCCGCTGCCGCCCTACTCCAAATTGGCAACGAGATATTTTGATATTTTAGAAAATATAAAGTGCAAATCAGTTATTATTTTATAAACCTGAAGTTAAGAGCCTTTCTTATCGGTTATAAAGTTTGTGATCGAGAAATACTTATTAATACGAGACATTTGAGACCAAAGAAGCTTTGAAACCTAACCGAGGTTAAGCGGAACAGCTCATTATTCCAGAAGAGTTATCCTTTGTTTCTCATTTCTGAGAAATGGGTCGAGGCATTTCAAGAGAGCTTACGTCATTTAGTCTATTTTTTCCGCGCTGAGTTTTCCTCGTTGGAATATCATGTTCGAAAAAATGCTCTTTTAATTATTGTAAAGAAGGTTAAGTTAGGGCTGAATGTTTGTCAACTTGGAAATGGAATGATACTTTATGATACCCAGGAAAAACGTAGTGCAATTCTGTCTTAAAACATTAGAGATAAGACAAAGAACAACCCATAAGACAACTCACAAGACAAAGAACAACTCATTTCCTTTGTTTATCAGTCATTTCCGAGAAATTGATTGATGCATTACAAGAAGGCTCACGTGATGTAGTCTATTTTTCCCGTCCTGAATTTTCCTCGTTTGAATATTATGTGCGAAAAATGCTCTTTTATTATAAAAAAGAATAACTCTGGGAAACGTTTTTTCATATTTTAGGAAATATGACGAGAAATTCTTTCTGTGAAAGAGGTCAGCCGTTCCCTTCTCGAGCTATTTGCATATGCATGTTTTCTGTCTTATTTAATCGCACTGGCTCTTGAACACGGCTCTTTCTTTTCAAGGCATTTTATGAAAGATAAAAACTCATTGGAAAGTAATTTGAGATTTTCGGAAATGAGTCATGAAGAGTTCCGCCTTGAGATTTTCGACGTTTCAGTTTCATTCTTGATATTTACCATCAAACGGTCTCAAAAACACGCGCGCGCGACACGGCCGTGAAACACTTGACCTCGCATAGTAGGGTTACTCAGCATCTTTCACACAACTTTAGATTCCACCAGCCAAGGCGTTTTTTAGTAACCACTCTTTAAGTAACTGGACTTGATTTTAAATCGTTTCACACTGTGATCTCTCCATGTTCTTCAGGGCTAAGGAGACGTATTACCTTCTGTAGGCAGGTTTGGATAAGAAATTGTGGAAATTCGTTCAGTCTGAAACGGAACTAAAGTTTTGTAGCAATAAACATGCGCAGTGAATCCGCCTTTATCTGCACACAATTTATTGAAGCTTATTTGAAACTTAGTGAACTGTGAAATGTACAGTATCGGCCTCTCTTATTTAAAAACTAAATGTCTGAAAAAGGACTTGAACTTCCTTTGTATGACCATCCTGTTTAAAATTGCAATCAGAGAGATTGTTTCTCTATTTTCTAGTGTCCAAATGGAATATGATAGAGAGCCCATGTGATGTTTTTACCGTTAAACAGTTCAGAATATTTATGACTAGCGACTCAATTTTTTTAAACCCCATAAATATGAGCCTTGCTTACCAGCTTTAAGAGATTTTTCAGAGACATGATGGAGAAATGTGTACTTATTTGAGACTTTTGGGTACACAGATGATAATTCTCTCAAATTAAGAAGCAGTGTAGTAGACCGTCTTATTTTCTCTTGATATGTTTTCATTGTTAATCGATCATTCGGAGAGAGCCGCATTCATGCCGAGTTATACTCTTAAGACAACCTAAATACTAGCTCCCTTGATCCTGCCAGTTTTTCTTTCTTAGAGATCCTTGTGCTTAAAAAACAATTTTAAAATATGAAATTAATCTATCTTTAGCAATGAATCCTACATACACACTTCTGGATCTACCTGTGACGGAGTGCAAGGGTCTTGATGAAGACAGAGTGCTCTACACTTTTAAAAAGGCCGATCATGCCAAAGCTTTGTTGAAGAACCTCGCCATGATGCAAGCGAATGAAGGACTTCTGACAGACGTAGCCCTGCGCTCTACGTCCAAAGACTACGAGGAACCCTTTCATTCCACTCTTCTTGCTGCCTGCAGTCCTATCCTTAAACAGAACCTAACGGGAAAGCACTTTGATTGCACTGGTGGCAAACTCTATTTGAAGGGATTGAGCACAGAAGTACTTGTTGCCTTTCGAGGATTTCTTTACAAAGCAGAGTTCCCGCCACGTCAAGATCTGGTAGATGCCCTTCGAAGACTTGCCGTAACATATGGAATGGACTCTCTGAAAAAGCTTTGTGAGCGAAACAGTAATGAAGAAATGTTGGCATTGTGGAATAGTCACTATGAAAGTCTGCTTTCGCAACTGCGCGACATGTGCGAGAAGTCGGAGTTGACCTCCTGTTTGTTGCAAGATTGCAAAGGTTTAGCACAGTCAGTCCATGCGCCAGTTGTCGCAGCAGCATCACCAGTGTTGGGGAAAATTGTTTCAAAATTTCAAAATGATCTTTGCTCATCAGAAGAGACAAGATATCTCCTAAAGGAAATTGCTCCTAACGTCTTGGAGGATCTCGTAGAGTACATATATACGGGTGATGTCACACTGAACGGGGAAAACGTGGCTGGTCTTCTCAAAGCTGGATCTGGTTATGAGATTCCCGCACTTGCGAGGGCCTGCTGCGATTGGCTGAGCCTACGAATGGAATCCTTTAATGCAGTCAATATCTTGTGGCTGGCACGCGAGGAGAATTGCAAAGAAACCAAGGTTCTTCAAGAAGAGGCAAAAAGTTTTATCGTAGCTAACTTTACAAGTGTCAGTGAAGAAGACGAGTTCGTTGAGTTTGAGAACGAAGATCTGAAAGAGATCATACAGCGGGACGATCTTGGTGTGAATTATGAAGAAGAAGTATTCAACGCGGTTGCCAAATGGGTAGCTGCTGACGAAGATGAGCGTACATCGTACCTGCCAGAATTACTGAGGTGCATTCGACTGCAGAATACAAGCCCCGAGTTCCTTCAAAACCTAAAGCAGCATCCTCTTATAATGAAGAGTGCTTCATGTGTTGAATATGTTCAAAGTGCCTTGGAAAGTCAAGCCTTGTTTCATTTGCAAGAATATACAACCCCAAAAACCTTTCACGAGTCTGAACTAGCCCTCTACCCTGATCAATACGGCTTTGAAGATGCTATTTCAAAAGATCTTATGCCAAAATTTTTGTCTTCGGAGTTAGAGCTTCCTGGGTCAGATGTGCCTGTCAAGCAGACGCCAAGGAGGGTTCAAAGGAAGGATGGAACTCCTGACATGAGGTTTAAAGAGAACAGGCGGTTGTTAGGCCTGCAAAATAAAGACCGCTCTCCAGATATGCGGTTTAAGGTTAACAAACAAGGCCTCAACTTCTCGGTGAAAAAGGACGGCACTGCAGACATGAGATTTAAAGTAAACCGTCAATTCCTAGGCAAAGATGAAGAATGGCGACCACTTACAAAGGCGGGTACACCGGATAGAAGATTCAAAGTAACGAGAGGTAATGATGCCATTGTGCAATCTTCTTTAAAGAAAGGCAGAACACCAAGTACTGGCCCTGTCAAGAGAGATGGTACGCCTGACATGAGGTATGCAGTCAACAAACAGTCTTACTCTCTTTCTCCTTCCGGTAGCTATGGAGGTAGTCCTTTGCAGCTACCCTCAAATGAAGCTTCAACTGGTCCACTGAAGAGGGATGGAACTGCTGACATGAGGTATGCAGTCAACAGACAATATACCTCTCCATCTCCATCCAGGAGTTATGGAAGCAGCTCGTTACAGTTGTCATCATATAGCCGTCCAAGTGGTCCAGTCAAGAGAGACGGAACTCCAGACATGAGGTACGCCATTAACAAGTCATTGAGCGACATTAGTTTTGCATCCTCTGGCTATTCGTCTGGTGGGTCCATCTACAGTTCGAGATCATCTCTAAGTGGCAGTGTAAGTGGGTTGAGTTCATGTGGTCCACTCAAAAGTGATGGTACTCCAGACATGAGGTACGCTGCAAACAAGTCGTCTTATGGTAGTTCACGGTCGACTGGATCTTCTTTTGGCGGATCAAGCTACAGCTCCAGGCCGTCTTCCAGCGGAGGTGCCTCTCTATCCAGCTCCTGTGGTCCCTTAAAGAGCAATGGCACTCCAGATATGCGATTTAAGGCTAACAGACGGTAAAAAACTCCAAGTACGAGAGGTATTAAATTTTTTAGCAGAATATTTCCTCTGTCATTTCGTAATGATTCTATGATTAGTGGATTTAAATTTCATTGAACTGGCTCAGTCCTCGTGTCAGATCTTAGGCAGACATAAGAATCAAGAGATCTGCATTCATAATTTCAGTGAAAATTTTTCGATCGGGTGCGAGTTGTTCGAAGCATGATGAACAGAAACCCATGACTAATTTCTTTGGCAACAGACCCTCGAAACATCGTGGCCAACTCGATCATGTTCTGTCTCAATTTTTTCCTAACTGCAAATCGTAATAAATGCAAGATTGTAATAATCCTAGCCCAACTGTAGCCTTAGATTATAAGCCTGCACTTAACAGTTATGATTTAGATTCAAAACTGCTTAACACTGTCTCATAGCCAGTTACCTACTCAGTTAGGTGAAGCCTGAAGTATACGCCGGCATCTCGTCTCGTAAACCACAACAAGCCTTACATACTGTTGCTGGAGTAAGCGAAATGACATATCAGGCTGGGTGTTTTTTGTGAGAAATGGGAATTCTAACGGTCATCTTGTTAAAAATAATTTATCTTTGCATTCGGGCATGTTTTAGTAATTGTTCCGCTACCTTGCAATTACTTTGTTGATTGAGCAACTTTCAATTGAGCGTCGAATGTAATCCGGGATTGCTCTGGTTTTACTCAACTTAACTCTGTGATTGAAGGTTGAAAGTTTCTAAAAAAACTGCGGTGCTGCGTCGGTGGGGGTAACAAGGTAATTTGGTTATTTCAACCAAGTTGAAATTGTAAATTGGTCACCGTAACGAGTTAAAATGCTCACGTTTCGAGCGTTCGCCCTTCGTCAGAGCGAAGGGGTAACGCTGGAAACGTCAGCTTTTTAACTCGTTACGGTGGCTAATTTACAATTTCAACTTAGTTGATATAACCAAATTAACTCTGTGATGGGTTCAAAACCCACGCTTTCCTCTCGACCAATCAAAGAAAGTTCAACCATCCTGTAATTGGTCAAGAAAATCCACGCTTTCCTCTCAACCACTCAGGTGAAAACTCAAAACAATCTCGATTGTACCATTCGCGTTTTTCCACGTTTCAAGCATGCGCAGCACGTTTTCTTGTTTTCACTTTGAGTCCTCATTGGTTGATGATAATGTAAACGTTTGATGTGATTGGTAGCTGGGACTGCTTTGGTTTTGGTTTCTTGAAATGTTCAACTGAGAAGTGCTCTAGTTATCTTTATCTATGGTAGGGAAAAAATAGTGAAGAATTGATTTTAAAGGTCTTTAGACATTGGTGAGGTTTTGAACAAATACACTGGCTTAGTTGTTTACGTTACATTTTCAGTTAAAAATTTTGCTGTGAGATGATTCTTTGGGTTTTTTGGCAAATTTCTTAAAGCATTTGTTCACCCAAACTGCTTGATGCGCTTGTTTTCATTTGGAGTGGGTTAGTTACTGGATGCCATGTCACTGTTACAAAGTTGATACTCATTTCTGATTTGACAGTTTTTGGAAATAGGAAGTAGTTCCTGTTCGATTGGCACGTGCACCGGTAACGCGGCTTGTGTGACAATTGGCACCTAGTCGACAGCAACTTTATCCTGCAACCTTCGCAAAGGATGTAAAAAAGAAAAACAAAAAACAACAAAAAAAAACCACTTCGTTTAACTTTATTTTAATTGTCATTTTAGTGATCTGATAATGCCTTCTTCACGGAAATCTTTGATCAGCTTTTGATCATTAATTTTTCATATGATTAGCCAAATTCTCACGTCCATAGGAACCCTGGGAAAGTAGCCAAGTGCTGTCTTTGTGGATATATTTGCAGAGAGGAGTTACCTGTTAGAGAGGTTTTGAAAATGAAACACCAAATGGCTCATAATAATCTTCGCTAGAGTCGCTTGATTCGTTTAAGAATCACGATACAGACGAATCACGTCTCTTAACCTAGAATGTATGCACAAAACTAAAATTAACTGCAACATATAATCTCGAATAACATTAAGCAATGGTTAAATAAATAGTTTTTCAAAGGTTTCGTCGAAGAATGGTCCAAAGCGCGCTGTGGTGTCAACGTTAACAATAATACGTTAAATTGTGTTAATTTGCATTAATTTCCTTTGCATTGACGGTTGAAGTAGCGTCACAGTGTCCTTACGTTGTTCAAATTGTGGTCTTTAAATGATCGCTGGAACTGTTATTACCGAATGTGTCTTCGTTTTAGCTCTTCTTGGTTGGCATGGACAATAAGGTGTCTTCAGTTGATTGATCGTCCTTTTTTTATAGCTCATTCATTGAAGTAGCATTCTCCACATTTTTGTCTCATAGCGCTTTGACGAACAGTTTTAAATACTTTGTTATTACCCTTTTTGTCATTTAGTTTGTTCTTGTTAAGAAAGATGTACTGCAACATTTATAACGCTAAACATAAGATTTGTAAGCTGATGGATTCATGTGTTGACCATTAAAATTTTGCTGCTTTTTCGCTGAATTGCTGTCAACTTTAAATCCACTTATCTAAGACTTCTAAATCATTAACATGGAATCCCAGAATCACACGAGGTCGTAGTGGGAGGCTTTGGACCAGTGCATTCTTCATCTGTCACTTTGACTTTCTTGTTGGATGCGGTTCTCTTTACGCAGTTCACCTCAATCATTCTCGAACCGTGACCACAAACGGCAGAGCACTGGAACAAAAGGAAGAAGTTTTTCCAGTTATAAACATTGAACAAAGAGCGCTTTTTCCTTAGATGTCGTGAAGCCAAACCAAAGTGACTTGGTGTGAAAAATGTGACTCGAAAAATGTTTCGACAATGCCACTAATACCAATAATATTTAGATAAAGTCAATTTGCGTTCCGTGGTCCAAGCAATGCCCTTTTTTTGTATCTTGCATAATTCTCTGAGCTTTAAAAACTTTCCTGCGATTTCATGGTTTTTTTTTGCAGCTTTTTGCAGCTTTTTACAGCTTTGGCGCCACTTAAAGTGCATCTAAACCCAATTTTTTTTCGCTTAACGAAATAAGCTTATTTTTTGGAGTATTTCTGTGCAAAAATTTTTTAATTTGCTCAAATCTTTAATTTTCTGTGCCCAGTCAAAATACGGAAAATCGGCTGCCATCTGCCCCACGACCGAGTTTAAAGAGGAATGGCTCTAGCGGGTTATGTGACGTCAGATCGAGAACACAAAAGTCTGCATTTCACACATTTTCACTTGTTTGGGAAGGTTGTCGTCGATATTGTCCGAAATATGCCGACTAAGTGTGTTGTATGAGGAATGTATGAAGCGCGATACCCTTTTGCAAATTTCGCACGTTGCTACATCCTTCTACAACACACTTAGTCGGCATATTTTCGGACAATATCGACTACAACCTTCCCAAACAAGTGAAATGTGTGAAATGCAGACTTTCGTGTTCTCGATTTGACGACACATTACCCGCTAGAGCCATTCTTCTTTCAGTCGTGGGGCAAGATGGCGGCCGACTTTCCGTATTTTGACTGGGCACAGAAAATTGAAGATTTGAGCAAATAAAAAAAATTTTGCACAGAAATACTCCAAAAAATACGCTTATTTCGTTAAGCGAAAAAACATTTTTGGGTTTAGGTGCACTTTAAACACTCTCCCAATTCCCAGATTCTCCGTTTTTTTCTTCTTTCTACACTATTTTCTTCAGCTTTGGCATATTTCCCGTGCTTTTCGTACACTTTTATTAGCTCATTCTGAGGTCAAGTTAACGCCTCCACGCTTTTCGGGATTTATTTTATTTCGACAATCCCTTTAGGCAGCTTGTTACACTTTCAAAATGTAATATTCCCCCAAAAGCAGAGTTTATTTTTGAATCCCCAAGTCTAAAATCCTCCTCCACTGACTTACCGGACTTGACGACACTGTGACCCACTCTGCAGGACAGGGTTGCGGTGCGCAGGTCTCTCGTGTGGCGGGTTTCGGTCCTGCGCAGTAAGAATCTGAATCTTCCGTCTCGATTTCATGTGATTCATCGACGCACATCACCTCCCGCGTCCTCTCCCCAGGGTTTCCATCGTTACAGGTCTTGGAACAGTCCGACCATTCTCCAGTTTTCCATCTGAAGGACAGACATATTTTACCATATTACACCCTTCGTTCCTATTATGTAGTCTCATGATTCGTGAAAAACAGTAGTGCCTAGGTGCTTACTACCTGGCTGGACATTTTTGAGTATTGCACTCAGAATTCTCTTCACCAGGCTTTTCTCCCTTGCAGTAGTGGTCACTGACAATGGAACCGTCATCTGCGCGAGCGCAGGTTGGTCTACGTACCTCTATACCTGTCAAAGGTTACAAATAATTTTTTTTTGTTAGCAGCACAAATTAATTACTAAAAAAAGAAGCGGTTTTCGGAAAGAGGAAAAAACAACATACTTCGTTCCTTCTCTACCCACTGTAATGAATCAACTGAACATTTTTAACCAACCTCCACCACAGGTTTCAGAGCAACCCAAAGATCGCCTTATCCATTGGAACGTGACTTTGCCCTCCTCGAGGCTCCGCTCAATTCTCGTGTCTTCGTCGTTTACCTCCTTTGAGCGAGGGACGAGAAAACGAATCCTGACTTGGTATTCCTCCTTCCAGGATTGAACTAGATACTGAAAAACACGAAAGTGATCAGCACCTTCAGAGATAAAACAAATCGATGAAAAACATGTCTCATACTCTTAATTTGACGACGTCGAGGTTGAGTTTGCCACCAAAATCTTTTTTTCGTTCTCTTGGTTCAATCTTCCTTTTGAAGTCAACAGATCTTCTTCCCCTCTTCAATTAAACCTTTAAACGCCTAAGAGTGACCAACTTCTTACTTCTCCTTCTAGCATCCTTGCTAAATCATGCACCAATATCAGGAGAAACGAAATGCTCTTGAAAAAAAATTCTCTTCGTCAACGCCATAGTAATTGTATGGACACTGGTATGGATACTACGCACACTGATATTATGGTGTAAAAGGTAACAATGTGTCGCAAGATTTTCCGGTTTTGTTTTTCGGAGATCAAACACAACCGCTAATCTGTTTTCTCACCAGGAGCTCTACATCTTGGTTGAGGGGTCCTTGTGCAGTTATGCTCTCCCTCCTCTTCTCATCTCTCACGTATTTAAACCTTGTACCAGCGCCGACAAACGCGAATGAACGAGGTTTGATACGGAAGTCCATGTTGAGAAGATCTTCACCTGCAACTGTCATCATGGCTGTTGATATTATAGCAAAAATGGTGAGCATTAAAACGGCCATACCAAGTAAAATGCGATGAAACGAAAGGGCTAATCGAGTAGAGAAAAAGCTGATTCGTAAACGCGGCACACGAACATGAAATTATCATAGTTGTTTAGAGAAGACGGAAAGGTGAATATCAACTTACAGCCAATGTGAACTTACCCAAATAATTCTTAAAACCACTAAGTTCCTTAATTTGGATATTTCTCGCTCCTTCTGGAATCAATGCGATCGACTGATAATGTCCTGGCGGACACAGTTGATAAAAAAAGAGTATAAGAAATAGTAAGATAGACATATTACCACATTTTACGTCGGCAGTTGCCTGCAAAAGAGACATCATTTTGTGTTTTGCAGGTGTGTGCATATTGAGGAAAATGTATAGAAAAGGAGAAATTCCTGCTCTACAAGCAACGCGTGCACAGAAAAATGTAGTTGGGCGTCGTAAAAAAACGGTAACAATTAGCGTTCTCTTTAGAACTACGATCACTTTCTTTAATTCGACGACAGACCACATTTATATCATTTACGCCCTTTACAATCTCTTCGTCTACAGCATTTTTAGCTCAAATTTCGTGTATTTGAAAGTTGTGATGCACAAACCTTTTATGGGATTAGGCAGCCCTTTATATGTTAACCTCTTGCCAATGCATGTAGTTCCGTCCCCATCACATACACCACAACGATCAAACTTTTGACTGGAGCCAAGGACTTTGTCACAACCGAGTGGCTAGAGGGGGAGAAAAACATTGGATTAAACCTAAGTTTTTCTGAAAGTTAGGGACAGTCAACACTTTACGTAGGTGTCTACGTCTGATGCGTGTACTTGGGGGGGGGGGTGGGGAGGAGGAGGTCGAGTGGGGTAAGGAAAGTTTACAAAAGTGAATGTGATCATGCACTTTTCCTTGAATTCCTTTACTTGGTGAACAGGGGTACTGTTCACCATATTTTGACAGGGGAGGCTATTTACCGCCAAAATTTACAACGCCACCTCACATTATTGAAACATATTTAAAAAACAATTTCTCATAAACCGTAGACTTTAAAGCAACGCATTTGTGATGGATATAGGCATTAGCAATCAAGTGTGACAAAAAAAAAAAACAGCTTTACCTGACATTTTCCGTTGATGCAAAGGCCACTGTTTTCATCGTAATCATCACATTGCGTTCCGTCGACCACAAGACCAAATGAATACTTGGCAAATTGCCGAACACCCACTTCAGCGATACATGATAACTTACACTGCTGACCCGCTGAAACGACACGGAAAAGGCAAAAGTGACTATGAGTAGCTAACTCGACTTACTCGCGAGTAATTTGCTCTTCTTAGCTAATGATCAGAATGATCGTGAAGTTAAGTGAATATAACTAAATTGTCAAGTAATTAACGGAGTTAAAGATCCCCAAATAGATGCAGATGCGAGTGCATGTAACATCTTTTTGTTCCCGCTTAAAATTAAACACGAAACCTCTGAATTTCAATTTTTTAACAGAAAAAACCAAAATCTTTGATTTTATTTACTTTTTTTAAAGTCTTTTTTGACGGCAAATTATCCCAACTACTTCCACCGTCTTCAGAGCGTAGGCGATGTGAAGGATGGAGCCATACAAGGAAATGTTGTAAACTTTTGATTTAGTGCTTTTACTGTATGCTTTAAATTATAATCTAACGCAGAGAAATATACATTTTAAGGGTATTTTAACAACCACATCACCTGGTACTGGAATTGCTGGATTGTATACCCATTGATATTTGTTACCATCAAGGAACCGCATCTGTTGCTTTGATTCACACTGTTCTGTTCTTGGACTGGGCATTCCTGCCGGACATTTCTAGGTGATACGAATCACAAGTGAAGCTCGTCTTATCTTTTGTTAACTTTGAATTGGAAATGGGTCGCCTCACAGATTTTTATCGGTGAGAGAGCCCTGTAAAGTCTTGTATTTAAAGATGAAACATTCCTTCTATCTTATAACCTCGATCGATAAGAATTGTTCTTAAAAAGATGAAAGTTTGAGTCATGCTGGGACCAACAAAAATCCAGTTAATTGTAAACGTCGGTCAATAAATGGACAAATACTCACAGGTGTATGGCAGTATTGAAACTCCTCTGAATGTTCCATGCATAACTTGCCTCCATTTTTGGGTCTGAAAAAGAATATCGCGTAGATTGACAATGGTGAAATACGACACCTGCTACTCATCGCACTAAACTACTCTTTGTATTTAAATTTTTGACCTGATAAAATTTTTGCAGCAGCGATACAAACTTCAAGTAACCTTTTTAAAATTTGTTTTGGTGGACCAACTTACTCGGGATTGTCGCATTTTCTCGTTCTAGTTATCAGTCCCCCGCCGCAAGAATGAGAACAGTCGCTCCAATCTCCCCACGGACCATAGCCACCGTCAATAGCCTCAGGTCCCTCGCTGCCATATGGTACGCATTTCCCCCGCCGGCACCACTAAATGATAAACAACAAATTATCATTTCTCGTGGAATTTTTACCTTGAAGTATCATCGACAACAGACTTACCATTTGATGACCACACTCCGTGCCTTCAGCTGCAGGCTCGCGAAGTGTCGCGCACATTCCATTCTCCGGTTTAACGCACCACAGCTGAATGCAGACTTTCTAAAAGCACAAAAAACGAAACACTGCTTCAAGCACGGAATCTATTTCGATGACAGTCTTACTTATTTTCACTTTGCTATAAGCTACAACCTCGTCAGCTGAACAATTTCCAAACGGTAAGCATATCTCATAGAGAAACATACGAAATGCGAAAAGGGCAGTCCTAGATGAGTTCTGCATCTTCATCTTGGATTTGCATAGATTCATTTACTTACAGCTTTCACAAAAGGCGCTGGACACTCCCGCGATTTATCTCCATAGATCCGCCTACATTGATCATCAGCGTTGTACACCTCTCCTGGCAGGCGTTGCGGTAATTTCACGGCCTTTTGTGGTTTGTCTTTTAAGCACTGCGCATGATCACCGCTTGGAAATTTGAGAGCCACATGAAAAATAAGATACAAATCAAATAACGGTATTTTGTGGAATTTAAATTTCAAAACTTGTGTTGCGAGGGAGAGATTGTCTCGGCAAACGGTTGCAAAATTATGATTTCCTTTACAACAAAAAAATTCCTGTAATCAGAGAGTTTTATTTTTACAACTACGGTTGCATATATTGTATTGTAGTTTTCTAAAGAAGGTTTTCCACCGACCAAAGCGAATAACGCAATCAACAAACAAGAGCTTAAAGGATATGACTTGCGAGTATGTCGCTAATAAATCTGGTTTTTAAAATGGTCGAGGAATTATTGAGAGAAGTCAATATTATAGTATGATATGTACTCACGATAGAAAAGCGTGAATTGAATGTCTGCTACATGAAGACCATTCGAACGCTGTTTCTTTACCGCTGGCTTGTGTTGACATGATGTTTTTGATATCAGCGCACGGGTTACCTGCACTATCGTGCTGAGCTCCAAGGCTGTTCAAAAATAAACAAAAAAATTAAAACGAAATAGAGATAGATAAAAAAACGAGTAAATAAAAAGTTTACCGGACAACGGGAGTTTACGATTCTCTGTTACCCTTGCAGAATCCGCTTTTATGAAGAGTTACATGTAATTACAAGTTCGCTCATAATCAAAACTGTTACCGTACGGTCCTATTTATTTGTCTCATCTTCCAGCGCACTAGCAGCGTGTCTCTATTTTGACAAGTCTCCCACATCCTTGTGTGATATGAAAGGTTTGTTTACACACGAGCCAAGGGGCTCACAAAGTGCTGGGGCGTATCCTGGTCTCCATAACATAAAAGCGACTGGGAATGTTGCTGCTCCCTCCTTAAGAGGATGCTAGTCCACCTAGTGTAACCCCTCCCCCTCACCGGTACTCTGTAAGGTTTCCCTTACGGTGGTACTAACACAATTGCTATCCCTCAAGTGTCTTGAACATGACTCAACTAAGCATTGAACTCGGACCTCACAACTGTACTCACTTGTGTCCTGTCTCGTGTGCAATGGTATACGCCGTACCCAGACCTCCATCCTTGCTCAAAGTACAGCTTCCTGTCAAACTGCACATTCCTTCGACTTGTGCCAGACCTTTGCGGGAGATCAAGCAAAAATACTCATCAAAACAGTAACTACGACAACAACAACTGCGACGGAAGCTGTCAGCATACGTGGATGAATATAGCTCCATAGCACTTGTTAGGCATCGATCAGGGCCTCACCTAACACTTTCTCGCAGTTCTGGCCTTCTTTGCGATCTGAGTTTCGACAGAAATCGTACCTGCAATGAAACGAAGGCTGATGTGTCTTAATGGACCACTTATATAACTTGGAAAGACATTTGTGAAGTACATTGCGATCACGATGAAAGTATATGATATGGATTATGCTTTGTTGGGGGTTGGCAAGTCGTTGACAACTTGTTGGTGCAAAGAAAGTTAGGGTTGTGCAGAGGAGAGAGATCTGCGAGCTTGCTGTTACTGCTTGGTTTATCCTTACCGGGAGATGAGGGCTGCATGATCAAAGTGGTCAGGATTGTTATCATCCTGAATGTTTTGTCTTTTAGTCCACTCACAGAAGCTTGTCATGGTGTTTCCAGCATGTGCTCTTATCACAAGTCCTTCCTGAAAAAACCCTCACCAGGTCATTAAATATGAATGCTATTTTATAACCGCTTCGCACAATACGCGCATCCGTATGGTAATGATATATCATTTCAATCAAATAAGCTTTTTGAAAGTTACTTCTATTTCCATCGGGGCAAGAGGGAATCCAGGAAAAAGATTGCCTTGACAGTGCAAGCTTCTTAATATTTTTGACATGCAAACGTGGTGTCAAGAACATTTGTTTTACACCTCGAACATGAGTGCGGCTTTTCGAACTAGGATACCAACAACGAAGTGCATTAAATAAATGGGACCAGCAGTGGGTATGTATTAAGGTAGATTTTATCATCCACTTCTGCTTAGTCTATTATTGTTTTCAAACTCTCGTGCATGCGCAGTGTCTGACCGCTGCGTTGGCATCAACAGTTTGTGAAATGTGGCAAGGTTACCAAGTTGTTTTCAAAATGGCGGCATCCATTGTCGAAACGTTGGAGTATTCTATGGAATTTAAAAAATGGGGAAGTACATTTACGCGCGCGCAATATTTTTTTTATGTGGAATTATTAATTATGTTAACCAAGGATCATACACACCCCACTCACCTGATCATGCTCCAAAATGAGCAGCTTCTGTAAGACATATTTTACATTCGCTCCAATGGAAGTGTCGCCTAAAAGATTGTAAACCTAACGTACAAACTTTCAATCAACATAGCAGATAGGCCAATTTTTACAGTCTATAAAAATTGCGTTAAAAAACAAAACAAAACAAAATAATATTTATTCAAACTGGTGCATTCTTCGTATCCTCGTATTCTTCTACTGCAAATCGCTCTTTCTTCCTAACGTATGTTATTAAAAACTGGATGATTGGATAATGCAATTCAAGACTTTTTATTGGCTTAGCCATTATGGTATATGAGCCAATATACCATAATCTAATATCTGTCCATTGTAACATCCGGTTTCTTCTTACAAAATAAAGTCAAGAAGATTTGTCTAAAATCTTGGGGGCGTTTTGTTTTAATAAAACAATTATTCCACTCGCGCTTGTTGGGTATGAGATGATTATAGCCAACTCGGCGTTACGCGCCTCGTTGGCTATCTATCCTCTCATAACCAACCCGCGCTCGTGGAATAATTGTTAAATATATGTTTTTAAACGTATGTCTTTAGATCAATAAGTAAACTTACAATATTTATAAGACTTGGCACATAAACTTTAAGCTCTTCAATTCCGTGGAAATCTGTCATTTTTTTGTCGACAACGACAAGTGTTTCTATTGTGAAGTCCTGGCTATAATCCACCGGAGCCGGCGGATCAAATACCGCGCGCTTCTTTCTAGAGCCTGGTTTGTCTGCAAGGACAATTAATTTTATTAAAGAAAAAGAATTAAGGATGGAAATTGAGGCTGCATTGCGATTGCTAAGAATTCAATTGTTCCAGAATGGCGAAAGCTGCCAGAATGTTACGTTTTATACAAGTTTTTCTCTTCACATTAACTAGTAACCTTGTACTCCACACCAATTTTCGGATCTCTTCTCTGCTCTGAGAGCCTTCCCTACATCCTCCAGGTACGCGGTAGATCTTCTGTGGATCACGTGAGCTCGCGTTTTGTTCTTGTCCAGTCCTAATCGGTCCGGTAATGGATTTATTGTGAAAACATCCTCAGGAGTACGAATCAAACCTCGCTGGAGAGATAATTTAGGATCGAAGAAAGTCAGTATCAAGACATTGTCTTTACAAGAAATTCGGCAGTACCAAGACATTACTCACCAGTCCATCACAGTTACTGACGGCCACTCTAGTTCCCAGTCCTTTTGAAGATAACACTTGGCCGGTATAATGGCAATGTTCAATATCCAAATGAAATCGAGAACTCTGATTTCCTCGAATCTCAACAACAAAGTTAGGCGAGAGTAGATCGTCATTTAAAGTGACGTTCAAGTGAAATTTTTGGCCAAACGCTGACAAGTGAAAGTACACAGGTTCTTTTCCAGCTCCTGCTAAATCTCGGCGCTTTCTGCGGTTTCCATTCGACAAGTCATGAGTCAAGAAGTTGGCACTCTCATCAACTTGAACGGGGTGGGTCACGTGATAATCTGGAACTGAAACAGTGAGTAATTAAGAGAAAAACCAGTACTGTTTTTACCCTGTAAAAGCATGAGCCATAACACTTCTAAAAGTTCTAAAGATCACGAAATGCTTTCTCAAAAAAATAAAAATGTGGTTGAATGGTGTACAATTTGAGTTCATCATCCATGCAGGAAATATTTTTATGATGTAGGAAAAACATAGACGTGTTAAGGAGATATACAAAATCCTCAGTAAAAGCTGAAAGAAAAAATAAGCTCACAAAAATCGATACAATCACGATTTCTACGTTTTGTGTTAAATAATCAAGTAGATTCAAGCGAACTAAACCTTATATTTAAGAACAAAATGATATCTGTCACGAATTTGACTCATCTATTGTTGTTATGATTTGCATTTTCAATCAATAATTTGCACAAGAAAAAAAATTCTCATTTTATAAAATGACTACTTATTTTCTATACTCTTCTATGGTCAAAGCCATGCGTTGATCTCAAAAAGGCGTATATTACAGCTTGCATTTAAACGTTAGTCAGAAGAATTTTTTTTAACCATGATAAAGTTGTTACATGTTACTAACATTGTCTTTAGTAAATATTTCCTCATTATTCTTTAATTATGGATTGATAATCTTACGAACTTCACATTATCTTTATCTAAGTTTGAGCTGTTAATGGTGCTTCAGTGAATTTTCACAGTCTTAATTTACCCTAATTCCGTACCTCACACATTTATGCAGAATTGATGACTCTTTTTGTGGATAACTGGGGTAATGAGCCCACTATTACTTATAGCATTGTAGATAACGTTTTGAAGTGTGAATAAAGATAAGAAGTAAAAGTGAAACCGATTCTTGAACAGAGATATGGCGTAAGTTTTTCCTTTTAATCCATTGTTTTTGGATAGCATTTCCCGAGTCCAGTTATAACTATGTCAACATTTTCCAATTACTGATGTGTTTCTATTTCAATATGAAGATATATTGTAGATATATTGAAGATATATAGTCTTGACCGGAAAAGATCATATTAGTCATGGTTCGATAGTCCTTTGTTTAAGACAACAGACATCTGATCGGAGGACAGTATGTCTCCAGCGGACATTATCGACCTCTATAAAACTCACTTCTTGACTGGCGACTCATTATGTAGCCCGAGCGATTGAAAACCAAATCCTCATAAAAGCTTTACCGTCAGAATATCCTCTTTATGATCAACATATACTGAGAAATTTAAGTGGTAATGACGGACGCAGATGTTTATAGTGAAGTAAATTCCTAAAGTGGTATTATGTCAACTAAAAGTATTTGAAAACTCTTTTTCAAAAATAAGCAATGCAATGAATTAAAAAATGACAGAACTGTGACCGCAGTAATTTTGCAGAGTAATTTTAAGTAGATAATTTTTCTCAGTCATTGCACTTCTTAATCAAATAGCATTTTAAGAATTCTTGATTAGCATGTGTTGAATAATTCACTTCCAAGATCTGATAAATTCGTCAAAAGCATTCCTATTTAGATTTCGAAATCAAATTTGGATCTGCTCGTATTTTTTTAACTTTTTTTTTTATGGCGGAACAACTTAGATTTCCTGCTTCATTTAATCACATAACATTTTCAAATTTCGTTTTACTAAATCGCACATCGAACAAAATTGATTAAAAAACGTGATGGGCAGCATTTCAAAGGAGGTAGAAAAGATTTCCTGCCAGAAAAGGACGCCACTTATTTCAGTTTTAATTTTGTTCAGCCCAGATCGTGGTCAGATTATTCGAAGCCGCTTTTAACATATGCCTTCCCGCCAAGTTAATCTAAATAAAACTTGCCTACATCTTTTCCTAAGATCGTGTCGGCAAGATCCAGACACGAAGATCGATAGCTTTTTTTGAGCAACAAACCAAGGATTCTATTTAGGCCGTAATCGTTCTAGTCTTTTAAACCTTCGATAAAATACTCTTATCCTATAAGCTTGAAATTAGCTTCACATTTACTGATACCATAAGATTATTGAAATTTGTGCTAAAAGTCACAAAATTGAAGAATTTCAGTGTGTAATATTTTACTGTCATCGGGCATGCGAGAACTTTTACGTTTAGTTTCAGAAGACTACCAAACTAAAGAGGGTTAACGAGCGAACACATGATTTCACACGCGGTAACGGTTTTGCAGACTGATACATTTCTTTCCTGTCCTTTGAAAAACAATAACTTAGTATTCAACTTTATGAAAATCTAAAAACGTGAACAACGAGAACAGATTTCAATTGAATTTCTCGTTATAAAAAGGTTTATCGCCACTTGTACATCTGGTCGCGGAAGAGAAAAGTTCAGGGGAAACTGAATGTCCAGGTTGATAAAATTAGCAGATGAAACTTGATATGATTTATATCCTGATATAACATAAAAACAATTCCTTTTTTGTCGCAAAATTCAAATTGAATTCTCAAAGCTTTCTACAATGCAACACGAATATCAAATTTAATTTTAACTTTGTGCGTTAGAATTTGTACGACAAGTTAGCTTCCTAGATTAACTAGGATCGTTACAATACAAATTTGAATAATATATTGCCACTCCTCCCTGTTCAAAAATTGGATACAAAACAAAAGTAACATGAGCTGAGCTCAAAAGATCATGTGGGATTACTCACCACTTTGTAGAAAAGGTTCGCCGAATATCTTCTCCCTTTCGACCGGTGTCAACAAAGTGTGCACATTCTTAATTCGAAACAGAAAAATAACAAATAAAAACAGTTTTGCGCATTGAATCCGGGTAAAAATTGAATAATTCCTAATTGTGATAGTTTTCTTTTTCACATTATACCTTTCTTACTTTGTAAAGGTTTGGTGTAGCCCGCGGAATGAAAACTAAAACGAGAAACGGTGTAAAAAATTGAGAGACCATCTTCCGATGAAAGCCACAAGTAACTTGCCAGCCGCCGACCCTTCACTAAATGAAATCGCATTAAGGTGCACCTCAGTGAGTATGTGTGTATTTCCTGAGATAATTATACTTTCAAATGAGCAAAAAATTTCGCTGTTGTTTTGATGTTTTTAGTCGATATTGATGGAATATTGCTAGTAGCTCCCCAATGATTTTGTCTCCGGCGGTTCCTCTCTAAATTTCTGCCCATTAACGATCTAAATAAACAAAGAAAACAATAAGAAATCAAAACCTTGCCTCCTTTTTAAAGCTTATGGAAGAGTGAGGGAGTTCTTTTTGATATGACACTTTCTTAAGTTGATAGTATCTTTTCCGCCTCGTTTGGAACAAAAAATTATTTAAAATCTCATATCCTACAGCGTTAAAAAAAAAAGAAAAAAAAAAAAAAACCAACACCAGAAGGTCCCTAATAATTAAAAATAATTATGCTCTCACTTTTATAGGACAGTAAACGGTGTAATGGCTTAGAATAAAGTTAAAAGAATTCCCGCTGTTTCTTCGGAAAATTCAGGTTAACCGCAGTACACCAAACCATCTCAGCAATTTTTCGCCCAAGTATTGAAAAATTGGCGTGTTGACTGTCGTAATTTTTCTCAACAGGTTGATTCAACAATTCTTAATTGCGACTTCCATGTTTTCAAATTGTTCGCCGCGCGAACGAAGTTTTTAGCGAGGGAGTCATAGATAAACTTTCTCTTTCCTTTCGTGATTTTCGAAGAGCAAATTGTGATTGTGAATAACAAAATTTCTCTTCAAAAAACGAAGTGCACACGATTATATAGGTGGCCAAGGCATTAGTAATTTGTTTTCCTGCTCACCGGAGAGAGAACGAGTGCATGAAAACTTTTCATTCTCGTTTACACTATACATGTTTCTTGTCTGTTGGTAATTATCGTTCTGATGCAAGACTTGGCAAAAGAAATTTTAAGAGAGATATGGAAAAATAAAGGGAACTAATCAAATACACTTCTGTGTGGGAAAGAAACTTTTCTTTTCCAACAAAATTTGATTGATATGGGATCTTTGGGCTAGTGGGAGACAAAAGACGAGAAAAACAGTAGTGAATTTATCATAGTAATTGTTTTCGATTCCCTTCATCTATATTTCAAAGAAAAAGTCTTTCTTTTCATGCAACATTCTAAGTTTTCTCTCGAAGACTACAGAATAATATTTTTTCTTTAAAAAGTCTCCTGCTATCATACACTCGGGAATTTTTTTTCCGAGTAGTGTGAGTTACGCCCACAAAGGTGAACGCCCTTCTGGATCGAACTTGGCTTTTCCTTTGAGTTTATGTTTTGAAAAGCACAGTCTGTTTTCTGCTAAAGGCCTGATAAGTTTTAAGCGGAATTTCTCGATGGTATTAAAAGTAATCAAATATTTAATTGTTATTTGCTGTGTGGTTCATTCCGATTAAAAACGGACAAAACACGACATTTTCTATTATTTTTAATAAAGGCAGCAGCAAGTAAACATCTGAAGTCTCGAAACCACTGTTTCATCGATTAATTACCTTTACGGTCTTTCTGGCGCCTGGGGCACTCAAAGTGGGTTGAGTTTAAGATCAGAAGATCACCGGATAAATTTTCAATTTTTCCGAATAAATCTCTTTATCGAGGACACCTAATATCAGCCGATTTTAAGTGAAATTGATAGAAAATAAGCAAGAAGAAGAGTGTTAAGGAGATTCGGTTGGATTCTCTGAATTATATATTCGGAATGATCAATTGATTCAGTGTGAAATATAAATTGCTGAACTGAAATTGATAAAAATGATGACATTTATCAATGAAGAACACCAGTGGTAGCTTTCAGTATTCAGAGCATCCACCTTAATTCTGAATTGTTACCGTTACTTCCGTATGGTGTCAATCAAAATTACAAGAAGACTTTTGTATCTAGATGAAAAAAAAAAAATGAAAAGAAAAGATTTTGAGTTCGCTCATGATTTTCTTTCGCCACTGGCCTGGGTAAAAGAAAAAAATCATAGTCCTTTCAGATCTAAAGATGAACTCAGATTTATCCTATACACCACGCCAGTGAGAAACAAACAATATCTTTTTTTTATTTTATTTTGAATCTGTCGATAGTACGTTCCCCCTTTAAGGAAGTGATATGGCGCTCTTTGAGTGGAGAAGCAAAAGTGAATTTAAATAACTAAATATCGTTGACGTTTCTACTCCGAGGATAACTCACCTAATGCCTCATCTAGTAGGTTTTAGATTCACATGCAGTGGCGTATAGGTTAGAATTTACAGCATATCTGTCGAGTTGTTCATAAAGTTCGATTATATTAAGCCTTTCCAAACGTATGCGATAAAAGTGAAATGAGCCGTCAAAATTCAATATATCCCGGACTGATTTCGACCTTGAATGCAAAGCTCTCTCAATGACATATCATGTTCCGGCCTACACCTTTTGATCACAAGCGTATTGGAGTGCCCAAACTGGGCTGCACACCTAACATTTTTATTCACCCACGAACGTATCTGGTCTCTCAGATACCAAAAATAGTTCACAGTTTCTTTTGCGTGGGCGAAAATTCAAATGGGAGCCAAAAATACCTGTTAGAGGCTCTGAATAGAGTTTACCCACAGCTGTGAGGTCTGTGAAGCCTTAAAAAATTTGATTATGTTTTGTATCAGAAGAATGAATTCGATCACCCAAGAAATTACGCATAAGCTTAAATTCATGAAAGAAGCACCATGACTTTTTCTTGACTTTTGTGAGGGCTTGGTTCCATGATGATCGAATTATTCGGTAGTAGAAGACCCTTGTTCACAACTGTAGTAAAATTGCCATTTTCTGTACGGGTTTTTAATTTTTCTGTATTTTCATCATTAAGGAATTTTTGTCCATTTGGTACGCTGTGGCTTCTGTAGCGTTTCGTTTTTATCCAAGCTGCCAAATTCAATTTGATTTCGAATCCTGTAGTGAAAGAACTTAATTAGCTGCTTGCGATCAACGCTTACGAATCTCTCACGACACAACAACGACAAGAATCATGTCCATGAGTTACGCCCCCGATAACTTTTACTTCAGGATTTCACAAAACACCATAGGATTTCAATACTTACACCAAGCTGTGCCCACGATCAATGAGTATGGTTCTTTCGATGATTACAAGACAAATTTATAACGTTTCAATCGGCCTAAACACTTCTTTAGATGTTCTAAATTTCTTTCAAGTTGCGCTTATCTCTACGTGCCCCGAAAGTTCCACACATTTCTCGCCGGCATGGTTTTCACGGGGGATTTTAGAATGATACATCACGTTCAAATGTATTGCCCGAAGCATGGCGTCACCTACTGCGACAAAGGAAATACAAACGATACTGACTTCCATTAACGCGAAATAAATCCCCTAATCACTCTTTGTCACGGAATCACGAAAAGCTTTTCAGATGATTTACTAGACATTTGAAAGAGGGAAAAGCCAGGGAGAAAATAATTATAATAGCTTTTCTGTTGTTGGAAATAAGTTACAACTATTTGAAAGAATTTATAAAACATTTAACTTCAGGTCTCGATAATATTCATTTGTCTTCATTTCGATGACGGAAACCCGATAATTTAGATCTAATTTAACAGATTTAAAATTCTGACTGACTTAATAACATAATTGGTCCGGCTGTTAACCATCTTAAAAGGTTATCCGTTCCGTGAAGAGACATGACTCGCTAATTTCCTTTGTAGTCGATATTTTCGGTTTGAAATGTACCAAAACACGGCAAAACGGTCTCCCCAGTTTTATGTCTTAGTAGACAACGTCTTTTCGCTAGAAGAGAACACGATTGCAGCCAAACCAGCTCCGAAGGACAACACTAAAAATGTGTACCTATTGACGATGTTGGAACGCACGAGATTTTTTTTCCTTTTTGATAAGTTAAAAGAAAGAGCAACAATCAGCCATCCCTTTCCCCCTTCATAGGACAAATTTAAAACTATTTTTAGAGTATCATCGGTCTTGAGGACTCAGTTGTATTAGAAATGATAAAGATGAACTCATATATTTAGGAACAACAACTTTAATTTTATTGAAAAGGCACTATTAAATACAATAATCAAAAACGGAGTTACATTTGAAGTTTGTCAGAGTGAAGGAGTTGTCTTCTACTAGCTATATTGTTAAGTATACTGTACAAAAATGACAATGTTGTCCTGATTGGCATCAAATAAGGTCAATAAATACTACTAAACATTACATTCTATTCAATTCAATCACTTATTACAGGGTTCCTATGGAATATGTCTCTTTCTTTCCAGTCTGTCTGCAAACTTGTCAATTAATTGATCTCTAAATCAATGAATTAAACTGTTCCCTAGTATAACTATTTAGTATAATTTCAGAGCTGAGTAAAGAGTTTCCAGCAACCTGATTGGTCGAGCGGTTCCTTATATGACGCTATATAAATCACTCCACGCGGTTTATATAGAATGTTAAAATAAAATGTTAATAAATGTTACTAAAATGTTATGATTTTAGAAATTTCTCTGTTGTTCAGCTCTAAAATTATACTAAAACAATTATTCGCCTCAGGTTTGGTGAATATTGTCGAATAATCCCCCCGACTTTGTCTCGGGGATTATTCGACGATATTCAACTCACCTTCGGTGAATAACTGTTAAATATAAATTCGTCAATCGATGAGCCTATAATCTACCGAAAACATTTATGCGGGAATACCCCAGATTAGATTATCAACATCTAAGACTTGCTTTCTGATTGATATACGTGTGAAACCTTGCCACAGAAACACGAAATTCCCTACAGGAGTCAAGAACAATTGGCTACAGATTACATATACTTGTAAACTGGATGGCCAGCCATAATCCAAGTCAAGAAAAAGCCAGAGAAATCAAAAGAACCACGTAACAATAAGTAGCATTGCATATACAAAATCTTAAGCATCAGCGAATGTTTAGGCAGAACCAACCGCTTTTCGATTGAGCGCATGTCATAAAACCAAACCAAAGCATTCGCAACAGCCAATCAAAGCAAGGAAAAATATCGCAAGGGACTAATGAGAACTCTAAGTCAAAACAAGTAAACTGCCTGAAGCGCGCGAAAACGCGTGCGATCAAGGTTTTACATTTAAATCTGATTAGTTGAGAAAGTGGCACGGGTTTTCTGGACCAATCACATAACGAAGTAAAGGAAAACCAAAGAAATCCCTGATTAGTTTCGATACTCTTTTGAACACTTCTCTGAGGTATAGCTCTTGCCAATGATTTGCTGTAACAGCGACTTTTGCCGTGAATAGTACCTGAATTACTCCTCGCCATCGGACTCTTCATTACAAGGATTCTCTACATTACATGCCACATGTGTGGGCGGTTTGATGTCAGTGCACTCCTTTGGATCTACAGCGTTTGTTTCACCAGAAGAGTTTATTTTCACGCATTTCACCTCCAAAGGCTGAACACCAGGGCCACACGAGGTTGAACACTACAAGAACACCGTGAAAGAAACTTATCAAAGAAGTAATATAACGTTTTATCGAATGTGCTGCAAGAGAGGAGAATCATTAATGATTGAATCAAGAATCAACTGGAGGCAGGTTACCTGTCCAACATGCACTGTGTACCACTCTGCCGGGCATGGTTGATTTCCACAAGCTTCTTCGCTAGCTGGCTTGGGTTTCTTACATTTGCTATCGTCAACTTCCAACTCAACACCTTGTGAATCCATCACACAGAAAACTTCTCGTGTTTTTATTCCGTGCTCGCCGTCATTGCAGCTCTTTGTACAATCAGTCCATATTCCTATCTCCCACCTGAATGGAAAATGAAATAATTTTACAGTAGAATGTCTTTAGCTTTTTTGGTAGAGCGTCCGTAGGTTATAGGTTCGACCCTCATTTGGAGCCGCGGTACTCGGAGTTTTTCCGAGTACCGCGTTTTTCCGAGTAATGCGTGGGCCATTTACTGAATGACACCAATAACTAATGTTTACTAAATTTCAGTTCCAAACAATAAACTGTCGGATGGATTTTCTTTTCAAACAAGTCTAGAGTAACAGCGCATTAAGACATCTGCATAAACGCTTCCAGCCTCACCTCGCTTCACCTGGGCCATCTTCTTCTTGACCAAGTGCCTCATCTAACTCGTAAATCTCCTGGACGAGTTCGGGAAAATCGTTATCGAGGCCGAGACTCCTTGTGGACTGGGCATCAGGTTTAACATACTCGTAATTCACCGTGTATTTTGAAAACTGGTCCATATTCTCATACTGAAAATAAATCAAAGTTGAAATTAAATTGAGGTTGGAGCTTTCAACGGTTGGAATAATGCACGAGAGCATTTACATATCTCTTTATTTTAAAATGGTTGTTAAATCCACTGCAGTTTAAAACCTTTAACACCAAAAGCTCTTGCCCCAATTATTTTGATGATTGCAAATGCGTCTCTTTCGAGAGATTAAGCAAAAAGGGTATTAAAATTGTGATAAATCAGTTACTTCATAAATAACTTAATAGATTAATGAATTTTGTTTTGAATTAACTACTTACGTTATAAACGCTATTAGCTCTTAAACTGTGTTGACGACCCGTTTTCTGCTAATTGCAGCAAAGTGTATAAACCTCCTCCTTTCCATTTGTTAAGGCTTTGAAAAGCCAACTTGTAAAGAGCCTCTCGAAAGATAAAGCTATTCTTGCTATCCCAAAAATACTGAAAGAACTACGTATGATGCACGATCCTTCGCAGTAGATAGCGCTATTTATGCAATAGCGAAAATCAGACCTGAAAAATTGATTTTCGCTATTGCATAAATAGCGCTATCTACTGCGAAGGATCGTGCATCATACGTAGTTCTTTCAGTATTTTTGGGATAGCAAGAATAGCTTTATCTTTCGAGAGGCTCTTTACAAGTTGGCTTTTCAAAGCCTTAACAAATGGAAAGGAGGAGGTTTATACACTTTGCTGCAATTAGCAGAAAACGGGTCGTCAACACAGTTTAAGAGCTAATAGCGTTTATAACGTAAGTAGTTAATTCAAAACAAAATTCATTAATCTATTAAGTTATTTATGAAGTAACTGATTTATCACAATTTTAATACCCTTTTTGCTTAATCTCTCGAAAGAGACGCATTTGCAATCATCAAAATAATTGGGGCAAGAGCTTTTGGTGTTAAAGGTTTTAAACTGCAGTGGATT